TCATTGTTGTTTGGTGGGCCCGGGCTAGATTCAAACCCACCACCTTAGGTGTATGTGGCTGGCGCCTTAGCCACTTGAGCCATAGGCGCCAAGCCTCTTCCTTCTCTTATATTATATATATACCTGTACTGAGCTAGGCAGGCAAAGTAACTCCAAATGATTGAATTTCAAACAATTATAAAAGTATCTCCCAGTCTTATTTTATCAAAGGATATACCTGTACTGAGCATTACTTGGTTCAGACGTTGAGATAAAGGTTAAGTATCAGTTATCTGAAATGCTGGGGCCATGAGTGGTTTAGATTTTGAAATTTTTTTTCAGATGCTGGAATATTTGCATATACATAATGAGTTACCTTGAGGATGGGACCTAATTCTAAATATAAAATTCATTTATCTTTCATATATGCTTTGTACACATAGCCTGAAGATAATTTTATACAATATAGTTAATAATTCTGTGCATGAAACTAAGTTTTGACTGTGTTCTGGCTGAGACATAAAGAGAGGTATAGAATTTTTCACCTGTGGCATTCTGTTGGTGCTTAAAATTCTCACATTATGGAGCGTTTGTTTGTTTGGTTTTTTTATTTGTTTTGAGACAGAGTCTTACTTCGTTGCCCTTGGTAGAGTGCTGTGGTGTCACAGCTCACAGCAACTTCAACCTCTAGGGCTCAAGAGATTCTCTTGTCGCAGCCTCCCAAGTAGCTGGGACTACAGGCACCAACCACAGTACCTGGCTATTTTTAGAGACAAGGTCTTGCTCTGGCTCAGGCTGGTTTCAAACCTGTGCGCTCAGGCAATCCACCCAGCTTGGCCTCCCAACATTTTGGCGCCTTTTGATTTTGGATTTTAGATTAAGATGCTAAACCTGGGTACGTTTTCACATCTACTGTTTAATCCTGACGACAATTCTACAAAAATAGACTCTATTATTTTCATATTACCAAAGAAAAGAATCAAAGTTTAGAGAGATTGAACAATTCATATAAAATCACATACCGGTAGCATTTCACTTGTTACATGTACTGAAGTGAGACCCAGAGAGCAAGAAAGTGGTCTAAACAGGATTGCAGTTTACATCTGCTTGATCATTTTGCTCTGCCTTTGTATTCAGGAGGTGCTTAATAAGGTGGCCTGCTCACAAACATGAGCAGCTTTTGGCTCCCAACAGTTGGCCTGTATTTCTAGTGTTAATTCTTCCTGGGACCTTGTGAGCTGACCCTTAACTGACCACACTCATCCCCTGCCCACCAGGACTAACCTCTTTTATTTATTTATTTTTTTTTGCAGTTTTTGGCTGGGGCTGGGTTTGAACCTGCTACCTCCAGCATTTGGGCCCGTGCCCTACTCCTTGAGCCACAGGCGCCGCCCCCAGGACCAACCTCTTTAGGCGCCTCGGTCTGGATGAATTCCTCATAAATTTGCTTTGCCTTCTCAGCCATCTTGGCGGGGGACTTGATCTTCTTGTAATCCTCACAGGCAATCCAGAACTCAAGGTTTTCCTCACTGAATTCAGACTTCAGGAAACTTTTGAAACTGGCAAGTCCATCTAGCAGGGAAAAAAGTCAGTTGGGGAAATTTATTAACTCATTTAACAAGCAGGGGTCCTCAAACTTTTTAAAACAGGTGACCAGTTCATTGTCCCTGTTAGAGGGCCGGACTGCAGGCCCTGGGATGAGTCGGCTGCTAAGCAGGACAGGCAGCGGCGGCACAAACACCTGGCAGGCCAGATAAATGTCCTCACTGGGCTGCGAGTGGCCTGCGGGCCATACTTTGAGGACTCCTGCCTAGGGCTAGGCTTACTTTCTATGTTTTTCTGTGGTTTATGTAGGAACCTGGCAGGTGTTGACTCATTTACTCTTCATTCCAAAACTAACAGACAGATCCTATCCATATCCCATTCTACAAGTGAGGTCAGATGGGTCAAGCTGACCTGCCCAGAGGTAACCAGCTGGTAAGTGGCAGAGCCAGGATTCGATTCCAGGCAAGCTGCCTCAAGAGTCCACGCGTTTATCCATTTTTCCAAGGTACTTCTCAAGAGATGCATGATTCAGCTTCTCAGAACAGAAAGTATCTAATAATGGCTGCCTACTTGCCACTGCACTTGCACTGGGAGAAAAATACAAGAGCAGGAGAGATGTAGTACCAGTGAGAGCCCGGGCTTAGCAGTGCTGTGGGATGCACAGAGTTCTAGTTCATTCACATCTGCCTTTCCTTATCCCTTCATTCGGATGGAGAAGGGGTAGGCCAGGAAGAACGGAAAGAGACCAGAGAGCACAGGGCTCCAGCCCTGCCCAGCACAAGTCACAGGGAACTCTGGGATGAGATGGAGAGACTTGCCACCCTGTCTTATAAAACAACTGACTGCAGTGTATATTGACATGACAAACATTTACCTGTTTATGGCATCAAGGGACACTATTAATAATGCCATTCTGGACATTTATCAACTACCAAAGAGAAAATAGTACCTTTAAAACTTGGTTTGTCTGAATAAACCAAGTAATGCTATTAATGTGAAGTATCACATATAAACTACTTATAATCCCCCCACACTCCCTGCTACAGATTATTTTTGAGTAACTGTTTCTTCCTAGAACTATAAGTCACAGTGGCGAGTAAAAGAGGCCTGGTCCCTGCCCTACGGGAGCTTATTTAAATACTCTGGGAGGAGTAGGAGGAAAATGAAGAAGCCCAAGAAACAAGAAATGCCTACACAATGAAGGGAAAATTTTATGAAAGATAGTAACAGAGCCACAAGAGCCGCCTAACTCTATTTTAGCTTTAGAAAAGGCAAGGAAGTAACATTAATTTGAGATCTGAAGGGGGGGTGGGCAGGGACCAGATGAGTACCACGCTCAGAGCACAGTGTCCATCAGTTACATGTCGGTTTTAAAAATATACTAAAGTAAATATGTTTATAACTATTGTGTTTCTATTTTCAGCATACTATTGTTTGTATAGTGTAAACTTCAGTTTAAAATTTATACACACACACACACACAGACACACACATATATATGAGAGTGTGCGTGTGTTTACAGGGCGTCCATGAAGTTAACGTGCCATTTACTACATTCGCTATTTCCAATTGCACATGAACTTTATGTCCTCCCTGTATACACACATGTGCATGGGAGGACTCTCAGGCCTGATCCTTTTGCCATCTTTTTTTCCCACCCTTCTAGCGTTAACCTCCAAAGCGTGGTAAAGATAGATGGAAACACTGGTGATAACGAAAAAAATCTGACTCTTCAAAATTTTCTTTAATGCTGGAGATATATATATAGTACACATAATTTGTACATTATATATTACATACTATCAATATGTAATATATATTTTATATATAATATACAATTTATATATTATAATTAACTAATAACTAAATTTACATTTTAATGGTGACCCTAATCCAATTATTATTATAATTTATTTATAGTTATAGTTATTTAATTATAATAATTATAATTGATTGACTATGATATTAATATATATAATGTTTTAAACTAAAATTCTAACAAATGTGTGTCTGTAGGGAGAGAATCCACGTCCATTTATTATCTAAGAAGAGTAAAGATTTCTAACGGGAGGAGAGAGAAAAACCTCAACTTTTCCAGAGGCTGTATGAAAATCACAGGCCTACCCTCAGTGACAGGCTGGCATGCCACGTGGCCTCTAAGGGTAGAAGGCAGGACCGACTGTCACCAGGACTTCAGGGTCCAGGTCTCCTATAACTTGTCCTGACCAGGGGACACTTACACAATCCATTAGCTCTGTTTAAGGAACACGTTTTGAGTTCATTTCCTTTGACCTAATTTCAGTCTATTCCTTGCTCCCTCTACTCCTTTTTATAGAGTCTAAAGTTTCATGAGTCATTGCCTAGTATATCAAGCACAAAATGTATGTAACAATTAAACCAGAGCCACTGTATGTGATCGTCTGTTTTAAAATTATCTTCTATAGATTTTGGTTGTCCCCAGACCGCTTCAGAGTCCCCTGCAACCATATTCAGTTCTTAAGAAAAACAATGGCTGAAGTGACCATTAACTTGGATTAGGGTCACCATCCATTTCATGATCCAAACAAGACAGAGAGCAAATCAATCCTCTCTCCCTGTACTTACCCTACATACACTTTTAATTGTTAACACCTCAAAATACACCTGGCAGCAATGGTGGGCCTAAGAAACAACGTTCCCTAGGAACCTGGCTAGAGAGATGACTTTAAAACAATTTGATGACCTGCATCTGGATAAAATCAGGTACATTTTCTCCGTCTCCCATCACATATTTCCAACTATCTTTCCAGTATGACTTGTCATAATTTAGTGACTCTGGAGTCAACGTATATGCTGAAAGAAAAAATAAAGCCTATTTATTCTCTCTTGTGATTAAAGGTTTTAGTTTCTTAAACAAAAGGTGTCAGTTTCTCAAAATGGAAAAACTCTCAGGCACTGACTAGCTTCTGGAAAATGAAGTTGTGCGAGTTCCCACACAACCAGGTCTAAGTCTGTGTAGGAAAACAGTAATTCCACGGAACAAGTCTGTGGCAAATTTATTCTCATTAGCCCGGATCCCTGTTTCCCCACAACCTATCACGCACTCTGAGTCACCCACTCCGCTCTTTGTAAAAGGTAGAGATAAAATCTCAGTCCTCTCAAATGTTGTTATTTGTGACCTGAAGACACATACCAGGATTCCACAATAACCTTAACATTTACTAAGTTTCCAGGTAATGAACTTGGAAAATAACTTTCCAGTACAGTGAATCTATTTCCTGGATGCTGATTTCAGTGCTTTCGTTGAATTCCGCAATCTTATTCCAAGGCTTTTTGTCAATGTACACACTTTAAACCGAGACTCATAAAATGGCTTTATAGTCTATTGATCTGAAAAAACGTTTAACGCTATTTCTGTCATCTGGCGTTTGAGCATTCTCTGAGAGCCCTTTATGGGGACCTTCTAACAGCCACTCCTGAAGCACTTTCACCTCCTTAGCCTCTGTTTTTCTGCTGGTCTCAGTGACTCCCTCTGTTAAATTCCTATCACCCCAGTCAGCATGGTGGCTCATACCTGTAATCCTAGCACTCTGAAAGGGTAAGACTGAAGGATCCCTTGAGCTCAGGAGTTTAAGCCCAGATTGAGCAAAAGTGAGAACCTGTCTCTCCTGAAAATAGAAGAATTAGCCAGTGTTTTGGTGGATGCTTATAGTCCCAGCTACTCAGCTACTTGGGAGGTAGAAACAGGAAGATCTCTTGAGCCCAAGAATTTGAGGTTGCTGTGAACTAGGCTGAGGTCAAGGCACAGAGTAAAGCTATATTTAAAAAAAAAATTCCTGTCACCCCTAAGGAAGTCCTCCTCTTGGGTTAGAGTCAAACAGACTCCAGGCCAAATGTCTCTGTTCTGCAAAGAACACACATCTTTGCCCTGCCACCATTCCCCTGCCCACCCCTTATCCCAGAAGACCTCCCCAGCACCCCTCCCCGACAATCACCACATTCTTTTTCCTGCTGAGACTGCACAGAGCCTCACAATACCTCTCAACATACCTCTTTAGTCATCCACTTCCTGGGAAGCAGATGAAAGTCACCAGATGCTCTGGTCTTAAGGAAACACAAACCCAGAGCTGGCCCTAATGAGTGGTGTCATTTTTGACATCCATGTAAAATAGAGTAATGGCCCTAGCTGAGAACACAATGAAACCGCTTATAAAGCCACTTTGAAAATAAAAAGGAACTTAAGACAAATCCAAGTCAGTTCTGTATAAAGAAAAAAAACATTGAAAACCAGATTAGCATAAATCTCTTTAACAGGGGTAGGGAAGTGAAATGTCACTGATCGTTGATAAATACCACTGCATAGTTTATTGGCGTAAAGCACAGGCTCCAGAATCAAGATCGCCTGGGGGTGTAAACTAATGTCATATTATTGCAGTAACCTGGACAGGTGATCTAATCTCTCTCTGAGACTCTGTTGCCTCACCTGTTAAATGGAGGTGATTATGGGATCTACCTGATGGGGTAGTGGTAAGGATTAAAGAATTCATATGAAGCTCTCATATGGTGCCAAACATAATTATCATTACAACGTTCAGTGCATGCTGGCTTTCATCATTACTGTTCATAACAAATTTAAAATTAATTTTCATCATTGTTCAAAACCCAACTCAAGGGTCACCTCCTCTTTGAAATAGCCTTTACCCACTGACTTGCTCTTGAGGATTTTTGTCATGATGACAGAAGAGGTCACTTTTTGTCCTTTGTTGGGATGGTTTGCTTTTATAGCTATCTTTCCCAGGAGGTGGTTAAGGTTTTGAGTTCAAGGTTTGCATTTCACCTGTTTATCTGTCTTTTGCATCCCACTTCCTAACCTAAATCTGTGCACCTAACATTTACTAGATCTTCTCACCCAACTAAACAAGGTACATTAAGAAAGCATTTCCTTCCACGTTACAGAACCAAAGAGCTCGCGCTTTAAAGAAAAATAAATGTACTGATTTTGCTGTTGCTGTAGTATTTGATTTCATGAACAAGATACCTGACCTCTTTGTATCTCAGTTTTCATTTTCTGAAAAATAGGGATTGTGATTATACCCAAGTCCTAAAATGACTGCAATCATTAAATAAACTAATATATGCAAAGTGCTTAGGATAGGGCCCAGCACATGATAAATAATAAGCTAGCATTTGTTTTTATCATCACATTCATTATTTTGAAGGAAATTATGGTTGTCAGTAAGATGATGAGAAAGATGATGTGAAAGAGAGGAGGAAGAAAATTGGAAATCAGAAAGAGAATTAAAAGGAACGTGCATAGAATAGAGAAAAACAGAAAAATGAGTTTGGATCCAGTCTATTTCATTCCCCGTGGGTGAGTGGGAGTCTCAAGGGTGTCTCAAGGATATGTTTTGACCTTTTGGAACTCTTGGGGAAAGGAGATCCACAGAAAACTTTGCTGCAACTGGACTGTCTTTCATTCTTCCTCTGCCCTTAAAAATGGTCATGTGGGGGAATGATTATATCATTCAAACCCTCATGTGCAATCTATTTTTGTCTTAAAGACTGGCACACGGGTCATGTGCCCCGTGAACCTACTAAATGGAAACAGACGGTGCCACCTAAAGAACTGAAAGTAAAACATGTAAGAAGTCAATATGCTTTCAGAACAAATATACTAGGTGATTAAAAATTATTTTAAAAAATGATGAAAAGTAAGAGGGACTTTGTTAATTAGGAAAGATTGAGTAGCAGCTTAACTGCCTTATTTTTGTTTTCGAGGTTTAGTACCAATTGATTTCATTTCCGCTCAAGAAAACTTAAGAAAGATGAGAATTTCAGGAATACTTGGAGAACTATATAAACTGGGAAAGTCAATATCCTACATTAGTCAAAAGAATGCCAAATATCCCCAAATCAACAAAGATACTACTCCTCCACGTTAATGGTTTAATTTCATCAAATCAAACACACAAGAAGAGATTATGAGGTTTTAGATGCATATATTTTTCCAATGTACTTTCTTCATTACCTGTTTGCACTGATCGCAGTGAAGATTACCTATTTTCTCATCATAGACTACGAGTTTTAGTGGCTTCAAATAAGAACATCTCACCAGATCTGAGTTGCCCAGTTTGGCTTCTAGTTATTCATAATGCACACTAGTTGATGTTTGAGAGAATGGGTTGAATATTGTTTCTTCAGTTTGATGAGATGGGGGGGGGTAGAATTACTTGGCGTGTTTGTTATTCTACTGGTTCTTGTCTAGTAAGAGCCAAACAGAGAAAAGCAAAGAGCAAAGAAGAGTGGTGAGAGAGACACAGAGAAAAAAGATAAGTCACAGGGAGAAGCGGACATGGTGAGGGGAAGATAGAAAGACAGAGAAGAGGAAAGAGACAGGAAGAACAGAGATCTAGAGAGGAAAGATGGTCTTACTCACTATTGGCCTCACCTCTCACAGGACCTGGCTCGCCCTCGTTTCTGAGAGATTTCTATACCCGTACCATGAACTCTCTTTTTTAGTCAAGATGGACATGCATCTCTTTCAAGCAAATAATTGACTAGTTATAGCTATCAAATGTTTTCCCATTTTTGATTAGGGGAAATTAATTGTCCAGTCTTAGTATTAAATACTCAAGAAGACAATTATGGGGAATTTATACACCCCCCCCACACACACACAATCACACAAGCACCCACAAAATATACATATAAACACATATATTATTTAAAATATATGTAATATACAATTAAATAAAATACTGTGAATATTATGTATGTATGTACAGACACACATGCACATCACACATAGCAGCTGCATATGTATTTTCCCCTCTGAGAAGCAGAAAATATTACTGTGAGAATCTCATGCCTTGATCTCACACCATGGTAAACATGTTTGCAAGCTGAAAGTTTTTAGCCCCTCAGCAAATGCTAAGAAGGTGTCAACACAAGCTGTCTTTGGCTTAACTCCTACCCCTAACTTTCTTATCCCAATAGTTCTTTGTCTCCTAAAAGCCTAAAACATATGCACACATGGTTCTAAGGATTTAGTGCGACTGAAAGTATTGTATATGGACTCATAAATCTCCTCCTTAATGGTTTTGAAAACATGAAAGTAGCTCTGCTAACTTTCAGTCTGACAATAGCAATAAATACCTGTACTCGGGGTCTTAGCATTCATTATTTGTCCACAAGTCCTTTGTCAATTGTCATTGGCCTAAAACCACTGGAGTAAGACAATAAATCAATTGATAAACATAAATATTTTTCTCCTGGTTGACCTCCTGGAATTTCTAGGTCTAAGAAGGAAAATTAATTTAATTCATTCTCTCATTCATTTCATAAATATTAATTGAACACATTATACATGTCAGAGGTCAGGGTGTTCCATTTAAGATAAGAAAGGAAACAAGAATCAGAAATGAATAAGAGTGATAAAAGTCCCAAATTAGATACTTTAATGTTCTGTCTCCAGAAGTTAGAGATTTGATGGTATTGCAGGCAAGCAGAAGCTTACTCCACCAAAACCAAGACACAATGTTCATATGTAATTCACCATAGGTTTTTTCCATCTCCTCCTTGCCTGCTAATCTCAATGGTCTTGTGAAAAATACTTCATACATCCTTATTTTTGCAAAGCACATGACAAAGTTGCATGTTCCATTCTTGTGGTGAAGATGGAGAGATATCAGTTGGATATTTTAAACTGAATCACATTTTTACAGTGAATGATTTAACAAATATTTGTTTCCTTCTGAGTATGCACGTCCCAATGTGAAACTATCTATCACAGAAGGGAGGCAACAGCAAACAGTCTGCAAGACCATAGGAAGGTGTGCAGAAAAATGGTGTTAGGAGTTCAGAGAGTGGGTAAATTGTTCTGGGAAGACTGGGCATTTTGTATTTAGATTTGCTATTAAGAGAGCAAATTTCAACAGATAGAGTTTAGAGTGTAAGTTATTTCAACCAAAGGGATCGCATGTAGAAATTCTATATGGAATCCCAGCACTTGGGAGGCTGAGGTGGATGGGTTGCCTCCGCTTGTAGGTTCAAGACCAGCCTGAGCTAGATTGAGACCTTGTCTGTAAAAATAGCCAGGCATTGTGGCAGGTGCCTGTAGTCCAAGCTACTTGGGAAGCTGAAGCAAGAGAACCGCGTAAGCCCAGAAGTTTGTGGTTGCTGTGAGCTGTGGTGCCATAGCACTCTACCAAGGGTGACAGAGTGAGACTCTGCCTCTAAAAAAACAAAAAAGGAAAAAAGAAAGAAAAGAAAAGAGAAAAAGTAATTCTATGTGGAACAGATCACAAACAGTTCCATTTGCCTATACACTGGCCACGTAGTTATCCTAGTAAGTCTTTTTTTTTTGAGACAGTATCTCACTCTGTCACCCTGGGTAGAGTGCTGTGGCATCATAGCTCACAGCATCCTCAAACTCTTGGGCTCAAGTGATCTTCTTGCCTCAGCCTCCCAAATAGGTGCCTGCCACAATGCCCAGCTATTTTTAGAGATGGGGTCTTGGTGTTGTTCAGGCTGGCCTCAAACTCCTAAGCTCAATGGGATCTTGGTCTTGTTTAGGCTGGTCTTGAACTCCTGAGCTCAAGCTATCTGCTTACCTTGGACTCCCACAGTGCTAGAATTACAGGCATGAGCCATGGAGCCTGGACCTATCCTGGTAAATCTTAAACATTAGAAATTTGAACTCAACACTTTAATCTTTGGGAATCAGTAGGGATTTTGCATCAAGGGAAAGGCGATTTCGTATCAAGGGAAATGCTCATTGTCGTACTGGTTTTATCTTGGAAAAAAGTGCTGCACTGGTCAGTACCCTTGTCATGCCTTGAGTGAAGATGTAAAAGGCATGTTTCCAGCAGGGGAAACAGAGGCTGGGGGTGATAACAACGCACAGCAAGTCACAGGAGCTGTGGACAGAAGTTTGAACTCGGATGTGCTAGTGATGACTTGTCCAGTGATCTTTACACTGCTACCCCCAATCCTTAGCAAATCCCAGGAGGCTGAGAAGGGACAGCAAGGACCTCTACTTCACTGAAGAGGACACTGAGATGTGCCCTAGTCAAGCTACTTGCTCTGGTCACACAAGAAAGCAAAGCAGGCGGGAACACAACCAGCAACCATGGGTCCTCAGAACCCTGCGATTCACCTCCTCTCATGAGCTGGATAACCACCTTCCGTGGTACCCTTCCCCTGATGAGACCACTTTTAAAAATGGAAGAATTGGCAAATTGGAGAAGAAGAACCTGGGCAACACAAAAGTGTTCTGCATCTCTGTCCCTACTGTGACAATAATTAACTCTTACTAAAAACCACATGAACTTACAGTCATTCTGCAGGACCTTGTCCAAGCAATCACGCCACTGAAGGGCCTCATCCGGCGAGGGTCTAAATCAGAGAAAGAAAGTAAACAAGTTGCAGTGTAAGTAGAGAATTCAGCACAGCAATGACTTGTCCCTGCTTTTCTTTGATAAAAAATGATAAGCAACAATCCATCCATAGGACATGCAAGTTCAAGTTATTTTCTTTCCAGCGATTGGGTTGGATGAGCTGGGTTTGCTTTCATACATCTCCTTTTGAACAGTTTGATGAGGTCTGTCCCTTTTTAGAAGTAGAGTTTGTCATGAAGCTGTGTCTTAATATTCTGGGATATCCCATGACAGTGGTTCCAACTGCAATCTTTCTTCTAAATACAACTTAATGAAATCCAGTTATCCCATTACAGCACCTGAACTCCCTTATACCACCATGTTCACCACCTAATTTAATCACCAAAGGGAACGTCCCAAGGCTACCTCACTAAGGCTAAGGGAAGATAGTGAGCTTACTGTTTGTGATCAGAGCAAGTCTACATGAAAAAAAAAAATGTAGTTTTCCTGCTCACTTAGAACAGGATGATTTTTTTTTATTATTTCAGGTTAATTTGAGGGTGCAAAGAATTAGGTTACAATGTTTGCATTTGTCAGACTCCCTCTTTTAACTGTGTCCTGGCCCCTAGAGGTGTGCCATGCACCCTGACATTGTGCCCATTAAGGGGGAGCACACCCATCCCCCTTGGGGAGAGGGGTGGAGAGAGAAGCAGGATATTTTTAAAAAAGATTTGTACTTCCTGATAAAAAATTAAAAGTGGTTAATATACCCTCCATAAGAATGTTGTACACAAATGCTCAAGATGCTGGCTCCAAAGGAGAAGATCATAGCCAACATGTAACTTCTCCTTAGGCTGCTTTTATTTTAACATTTATATATACAGAATCCCTGCAGCTATTTCATTTTAACCACCAATTTTTCTCTCACAGCGGGATGTGTCAAGTCAAGCTGGTGTTGTCTGGGAAAAGCGGCTGACTGCACTCTCCCCGGCTCACCCTGCTTGAACTCTGGCATCACCATGTGCGTGCCGCATTGTCAAATCAAAACGCAATGACGAGGCATTTATTATAATATCAAGGCCACTGGAAGTGTTTTTCCTAAATTGGGATTTCCTTAGTTCTTCAATTGTTTATCAACTGTCCATATAATAATTAAAAAAAAAGTCTGCTTCTAATTTGTATAAAATGATATTGGGGGGGTTAATTATTCAGATTAGCAGCTTTGGTTGATAGGACATTCCTTATTCCACTTTCCATCTTGCTGTCCCGGGCTCAGATTCCTCCTACCTTTACTTATGTAAGGAGTCCAAGCCATCAGTAGGGCTTTTGGCTAAGGTATCATGAATAATTTTTTCACTTCTCAGTTCCTCATTGCAGACCGTGTCGTTTGTGGGTCCTAATGATATGATTTTTCATAAAGTTTTACATGTTTGCCCTTTGAAAGTTAAATTTGCTAAAAATGAGAAAAAACTTGTGAAATAATTTTAGGTAATTTCTGTTGTCCTGGCTAGAAACCCGTATCATAGATTGAAGACATACTAATGCCTTAGAAATTTATTTCTAACAAGTGAGCTACCTTCCTCCTCTTGCTTTTTCCTTGAATAGTATAAAGGAGCACAGGAATGAGAAATAGAATGAACCGGGAATTACAAGTGTGCCCCTATATTTTTCTGGTTCATTTTCCTTCTAACCAGAAACGGACCTATTTACTAGAGGTCTCTGTATGGCCTCACATTGAGAACTGTTCCTACTACACACATGTTATTTCATACCTACAGGTTTAGCACAAGCCTAACTCAAGTTCTTCACTACTGTGGGTTCAATGTTTTACACATAATAGACCCCAACCGAGTCCCTCTCAGTTGTTGACAGACACAATAGGATATTAAATTAGTGGACAAGAGAAAATGGCTCAGAGCAAAGGGAAGGTGTGGTTTACTCACAGGATTCCCTAATTTTATAAATATTCTCATACAAGGACGTCACCTTCCTGCTCCCCCTTCCTCTGGTTAATATCAAGGAGCACAGGGAAAAGCTATGACAGGAACAGGTGACCCCAACTTAAACATATTACCAGATCCAATTTGTCCCAAATGGTCGTGTTAGACCCAAAGGCATGGGCAGCACATCACAGCCGAGATTAACTTCCTGAAAAGGACATGTGTAGAGCCCACTTGGGGGTGAAATGAGTCCAAATTGATTTAAGGGCACAGTCAGGCAGGACACACCCCCACAGCATGAAGCCTAGTGTTCTAGGAGGTAACAGAGGTTCATCCTGTCCCAATTCTCAGAATTTGCCAGCCTTCATTTAGTCTGACTTCATGGGAAACCAGATAAATGCAGATCTAAATAACCAATAAGTACCCTGGTTTGCAAGGTCCTAGATGACTACAAAGGTTGGCATGGTCTCTGCATGTGGGCGTGTGAGGGAGGAAGAGGAAGCCAGCTCCAAGGAGTCAAAATAAACGTGTGTAGCGATGAGTAGCCTCGTGCTCTATAATGCCTCATGTACATGTCCTCAGTGCCGCCTGGCCCAGGAAGCGACCACCTTGGTGGAAGTGCCTTCTCTCTCATTAGTCCTGAATCTCTCACATGGCAATGACGCTGTCACCACCTAAAGGTGTAGCTTGTCATTCATGGAGGGCTTCTCCCCTTCTCCCTGACTGTATGGCACATCCCCTAGCATCAATCCACCCTGCAGTCGAAGTGAGTCAAAATGAGTAAGTAAATGATGATGGTTCATTTTGCCCTGAGTTAGTCTGGTTGATGAAAGAAAGCCACAGACAACTCAAAACCTAGATTTTAAGATCTATCCCCTGGCCCAGCTGTTGGCAACTCCAACACTAGCTACAACCATGTGGAAGTTTTCTCACCTCTCTGAGCACTGCAGTTGGTTCTTTCTTATTTATTTTGGTTTTGGCTTGGTCAGGCTTTTCATCTACACAGTGCCTGGCACATATTTCAACCTTCCTGATAAGGTTATCAC